ATAAATTGGGTCACCACATTCCTTTTAATAATGTGGTCACTACACTTGAAGCACTTTTGCTGATTTTTGATCATTCAGGCACATCAAAGGACTAGGATAATTATTGTAAATTTTGATAAACATTAGTGCAAACCAGATGAGTTTTCATGCACTATTTGTACAATATGGTGGAGTCCTGTAGCTCAGTGGTTAGAGCACTCGCTTTGCAAGCGAGAGACCTGAGTTTAATTCCAGGCAGGGCGAAACCTTGGGCAAGTTTCCTTACTCCACACAGAGCCTAATAATAATCCCTCCAAAAAAACAAAACAATAATAAATTGGTCATTTTCAATCCATGACTGTTTGTGGGACATTGCTGTGCGCAATTGGCTGCCGTGTTCGCCCACAAATATACAGTCAATTCACTTTACAGTGTGTTCTGTGAAGCGCTTTGGGACGTCCTCCCGACGTGAAAAGCGCTATATCAAATGCAAGGATTATTATTATTAATATTATTAGAGAATGTAATAATGCTTTATTATGGATTGGATTATGATGAACCTCTACACTATTGAAGACAGTCTTTTTGTTAAGTGTTAGTACCCTCTACTGTCTATTGATGGTAATGCAGATTGACTACCAGCAGGACACCACCACAGTTGGGCTTTGAGCGCATAGTCCAGGCTGACCTACTGACCCATTACTTTGGCAGGGGTGTGTGTGTGTGTGTGTGAGGAGCACCGCACTATGTGTCTGTTAATATTTCATACTGAGGTCTCCTCTATGCCCATTCAGTTGAATGTTAAAAGTCCTTCAACTCCATTGGAAAAGAGAAAGGACTTCCATCGAGTGCCCTGGTCAACAACCACCCCTCCACCTCACCCAGGAAATTGTTATTCACTTAATGGGCAAATGTGGAACTCAGAAAAGTCACTAGACTTGACCACAATTACTCATTAAAACATTTGTGTGTAGGAAGGTGCCATACCTTTCTTACCCAATGATTAGACCAACACATCCCGGAACATTGAGTTTTGGCCAAACACCTTTCAGGGGGCGGTTTTAGGTTAACGGACAGAGTGGAGAATAAAATCACAAGATAAAGGGAGGGGAAAGGAAATACACAAACACAATTCTTTTTAATGCAATATTCATTTCAAGTCAATTCGTTATAATTCACTTCTGCCAAAACGCATGGGTTACAGTTATTGACCGCTCACTGGCTTGCAATGATTGAGGGCTTTTGCCCTTTGTGGACTCGAGGCTGAAACAGCCGCTTCTGCCTGTCCAGGCTGCCCCGTTTTGGTTACTAGCAGTAAACAACACTTCTACATTCTCCTGTCAATGGTCATTTTATACAATCTCATATGGTTTGGGTTTTTCCATCCATCGATCTGTAAACAATGTTTTTTTTAAAAAAAGTGAACACGATATATATAAATATCACATTTTAAGAAGGGTTTCTAGTGAGTAACTATACTGATACATACAAGACTAGCACAAAAAAATTCATCCATCTTATTCACAGCAGCAACTAAAAGATCAGGGAACACAAGGAATTTGCTTATTGCTTAACACAATTCTGTGTGTTAATCACAGCAACATCAAACCTATTCTGAGGTAGATCTGTATAGTTAATTGAACTGAAAGCATAGACAATTTGTGTCCACTCTCAGCTACACTAAATTATAAAAGGGCATTAAAACTGGCTTTCGTTACACAGTCGGAGGTCTCACACTCCGCCTCGTCTCTAGTCTCAGCCTGCGAGAATCTCACGTTGGTGCAGAAGTGTGGGAAATTCTTGTTTGGTTTCAGTTTAGAAGCCAGTTCCCCCAAAGTTTTTGAAAAGAAACCGGTTTCGATATGAAGTCTGAATTTTAAGTAATTTCCACCATTCTGGCCAAGGCATTAGATTTGAAAACCACAAACGGCTTTGCAGGCTGAAGGGTAGCAGAATGTCAGACCTCCATCAACAACCGTGTACTGCAGGTTTCATACCTCACCACAAAAGCTAAGCTAAAGACATTTTCCACTTATTGCATAATGGCACTTACACAGCCAAGTTTGTACAGATTTGGGGAAGAGAGTGCAACAATGACAGACTGAGCAAGGGGTAGAATTTAACCCTTCACCAGACCAGCTAATAATGTATTTCTGCCACACAGCCACTCTGTGTATGCCACACGCCTAGACAAGCTCTCAATTCCCAGCTAAGTCCATCGCGGCCGGAAATAAGATAATGTCTGAGCAGAATTCCGACTCAAAGCACATCCCGGGGACCTGTAGGGTTTGATATTTCCAAATCCTTTTATGAATCCCTGCAGATTCTCTCGATTTCTCTTACCACACAAGAACTAATTTGGGTGGAATGGATAACAGATGAATAATCTTAACTGTTGCACTCCCTTAAACCCAGGACTGTTTGACACAGCAAGATCAGGAATAAAAACACACCCTGAAGTCAGGTTGACAACTTAACACATGCGGATAAACAAAGGAATGTCTATTATTAGAGGTCATTCAAAAACTTATCATACAAAATTCAAGAGGTAGATCCGGCCAAAGAGTTGTACATTGTACTTTTGAGTATAAACTAGACACGCTACAAGTCTAACAAACACCTTCATACAGTCCCTGAGTACAGCTCATTATCCTGAGTCATTGATTGCTGTAAGGATCATACATTACAATATACAAAAATAAACAGAAATATATTAAAGGAAAGATTCCAACCTGTTCAAGCACTGTGTGAGCTTTTACACCAACTAATAAGTCTAAAACCATTATTTTTTTAAAAAAATACCAGTTCCAACACAAGCTGATTCCTTGCCAGGTCTGACCAAATAACATCAATTCCCAGGGATTTGTTTCAACTCATTCTGTGCCCTCTCCCTCTCTCCAAACCAGGATGGAATTAGTCTGAACAGGAGCAACATCAAGAGGCGGAGGCATCAGTGTGTGCATCAGGTGCGCAGTCTGTATTTACCTGTCTGACTGTTATGATTCAGCCCCTCACTATCCCATCGCTCAGTTGTTAACAGTGCTGCCTAGAATCAAACGTCGCTGCACAAGAGTCCCCAGGGGGCTAATATTGTGAATAAGGGCACGGAGAATCGGGGGGAGAGAAATACGTTTAAATGGAGACCGATTCATTCTTGGTAAAGAGAGGGACCTGGAGAAAGAAATTAAAATCTCTGCCATGATTGAACAACCAGTCAGGAGAGGCTGCTTCTGCTTCAGCTCCCCCTCCCCCACCCCGCCGGACATGACCCACCCTCCCCCGACACGCGCCCTTCCCCCATTCCCCCTCCAGGTACCAGTCCCGTTTCAGATAAACCAGAGATGATTCGGTCAGGCCTGGCTCAACTCTGGTAATTGTTGCATATGTGATTGCGACTGCTCTGCAACACACACGGGCTTTTAACATTGCATATACTGTAACCAATCAATAACAGATACCTTACACACTATAGCTGGGTATAAACAGGGATGGGGGGGGGGGGGGGGAGAGGGGTAAGGGAACCAACAGCAAATGACCTGCCGTTCGTGACCACGACATCGCCGATCAATAAAACCCAAATATTGAAAGGCAGGATTCTGGGATAGTGAAGAAACAAGTTTTGCCGGCGGCGGGTGGGGGCGGGGGATTGTCTTATGAGATGATTGAATAAATCTTCACACATTTCACAGTGGCTCTACATTCGCTCTCTGTCACATATTGCCGATTGCCATGGGGGCAGGGTCGGGGGTGGGGGGGGGGGAGAAGAGAAGAGGTGAGATGCCTGAAAACTTCATTTGTAAACTCCTATCCCTGGTGAGAGGGTCAGACGTTCAGCAACTCAATGCATGGGGAATGTTCATATCTTCATTTCTGCTCGGTCATACTCCTCCCTACTGGGAGCTATCAAGCAACATCTAAAATGCGACCCAAATACAGGGTGGGGGGGTGCAGAAAAACCTTTGAGAAGTCCATAAGCACAGCCCCCACCCCCCACCCAGATTTCTCGAGAGACTCAAGAGGGGCAGTGAGAGAGAGAAAAAGAAAAAGAATTCCCTGCCCCCTACAGGGATTGGAACTTGAGCAGAAAAAGTACACCACTTTGGATAAAATATCCCATGTTGTAAACAGCCAACAAAAAGTTAGTTGGTCACCTGGAGGTGCATACACAACCCTCCAGTCATTTTGATATCTGGTCGCAAAGCATTGGGGCTAATTCTAGAAAAATGGGCTTTGGTGAATCCTTCTTACACTGGGTTTAGCTGGCAGGCATGCGTTATCCAACCTCTGTACCTGGGATAATGCACACCTTATTACATTCATTAACGGTAAGAAATTCACCCATCTGAGATCAGCAGCACCCCCACAACATTGCTTTGCTCATCATTCCCTTCAACGCAGATGCTGGGATTGAGATTCACAGTGTAACTGTATAAAGTGGTTCAGATATCTCCTAAACTCCAGTGACATGTGGACATCGGTAGGAAAAGGAGAGGGATTATCGCTTGACTTGCTCCGAGAACTGATGTAGAGGAACCATTCAATTGTTGGGAGAGGATGTGGTTACTCCACAAATAATTCAGCTCTAAAGACAAAAGGGGGTGAAATTTGCAATGTTTCATAACCCACTCCCAATTAGCACAAGTGACACGCTATGAAACAGTGAAAATTTCAGCTCACCTTTACTGCCCAGGACATGCTGAACTGTTAGGAGTGGGTTTAATGCTACATGACATGACTTCTCCTCGTAGCCAGGGGCTGAGTGACAGCGTTGTGTTACAGGGCACAGACAGGAGGGGACACAATTGGTATACCTCTCTCCTGGGCACTGGGTGGGAAGACTCAAAATTAAATGGTCATGGGTTGGGTGCCCAGGTGCGTGAACTTTTGAGATTGGTCTGAAAGGAGATTTTTTTTGAATAAATTGCAACAAAAAAAAGATCTTAAGATATGAGAAAAAGGAATCACTCCATCCTGTGCCACTAGACCCCAGCCTTGGAGAAGATAAAAGTATATAAAGAACAAGGGGAAGAAACATGATTGACAATGGAGTCTTTGGCTTCAAGAAGGGATGATGGTTGGGTTGGATCAAGATAAGAGTCCAGTGTTTCAGTATGCTGTACAGAGGGGAACTGTCCAAATTCTATTGGGGTGGGAGGGGGGGAAAATAAATGAGAAGTAGTTAATTTCATGATGAAAGTCTTTGGTTAGATAGCAAGATGCTGGGGTGGTGACCTCAGCAGCTGAGGTGCCGGTTTCCCAATCCCTGAATGTGGCGCCAGCGTCAACAGCCCTCAGGTCTCCTGTCTCTGCTCGCCCGACCCTCTTCTGCTCTGCTCCTCGGCCACAGCAGCAGAGGAGGCTTCTTGCTGTGGGGTCTCGGAACATTCTGGAGATGGGGCCTCCGAGTGCTGCTCCGTCTCCTCCTCGAGGGTCGGGGAGGGACTGTGCGAGGCAGTGGGTTGGGGGCTTGCTGGGGGCTTGCTGTCCGGTCTTCCCTGAGCGCTGCCAGCCGGCTGGAGCTGGGCAGCTTTGACCGAGCAGTTTGCCACCATGTGGGTAATACTTTGGCAGTAATGGCATTTCTTTGGCTGTGGGGGCATCTTACATTCCTTGGCGTGGTGATCCAGACCCCCACAGTTATAGCACCTGACAAAATAAAGACAGAGGCATCAGGGCCCGCATTCAAAACATCACCTCTCACAGCTCCATGTGGGACCACCTCCTGCCCACCGAGGCCAATCACACTCATGTCGGGATCACAAGGTTGTCAAAAATTGTTAAATTCAGTCGGTGGAGGAGGAAAAGAGATAATAAAAAGCTGTACATTTAATACAGCGCCTTTCACATCGCTGAGCCTTCTCAAAGTGCTTCACAGAATATTTATAAAATGGATTGACTGTGCATTTTTTGGGTGAACCGTAGTGGCCAATTGCACACAACAGTGTCCCACAATCAGTCATGGAATGAGTAACCAAATAATTAAAAAACAAATTCGGGTGGGGAGGGGGGTAGGGGGAGAGAGAACATTACCACTGGAAAGCGATCCGCCAATTAACTAATAACCTGGTTCCTCCTTATTGCTAGGTAAACAGAAGTGTGAGACTTGTGGAGTAAGGAAACATGCATGAGGTTTAACCCTCCCTAGGAATCTAACCCGGGTCCTGTCACTCATGAGGCAAGCGCATTAAACACTACGCCCCAATAGGACAAGGCGAGGGACGGACGAAGAGAGAACGTGCCCGAGTGATACAGACTAAGAACAGGGATTAAATCAGCTCCTTTTAGCAGTGTTCGAACTGTCAGGTGTTGGTTTAATTAACCCAATACACTGGCGATCCATTGGAGGGGTGGATCGGGGTGGGGAAGACAAGAGGGGAAATGCAGTTCATTCTTGTGTGCAAGTAGTCTGAACACACAGGATCAAAGCTCATTAAAAAGGTATACAGCCTCATTAAATGCATAAAGTGTACTGTTCGTGCAAAGATCCCTTTAATTGGAACGCTGCTCAATGGCCAGTCTGTCACAGGAGGGGGCAATGTCACTCCATTAGCTGGAGGCTGCCACAGCTCCCTAACACTTCCTGACATCACACACAACCACCGCTGCTGCCACAGGCACTGTGCAGGACACTGACCCAGCTTTGTTCAATACCTCACACGTTTCAATAGCGACCCCCACCCCGATCACATAGGACTCACGGGGCCTCGTCACCAAAGCTCCATTCACACCAAAGCAGCCCCCTCCCCCCACCCCACCCGGATTCCCATTTTTATTCGCTAACCAGGAACCTCTGAACAAAGCACATTCCTTTTCTGATAGTCTTTCAGTTGTGAGATTCATTTCACTGGATTCTCACCCTGCTTCTTGCACACACACCTGCACACACATTTATATGCACACACATGTATGACTCCCAGCACACCTGCAGGAATAATTACCCTTGCATTTGATATAGTGCCTTATCACGTCGTTGAGAGGTCTCAAAGTGTTTCACGGGATACACTGTTAAATTAACTGTTTTGTGGGCAAAATGCGGTAGTCAATTTGGACACAGCAACTTCCTACAAATAGTCATGGAGTGAGTGGTCAATTTTTATACTTGTGGGAATGTCAGCCAGGATACCGGGAGAAACTTCTCTTTTGGATTAGTGTCATAGGATCTTTAGGATCGGAACAGGCAGACGGAACCTCAGTTTAATGTCTCATCTCAAGGTAAATGGAACCACAAAGCTAACAGGAATATGAAACACAAGCAATGAAGCTCATTTCAACTGCCTCCCGACCTTTGCAGCCGCGACTTCAGTCGCGCTGCGTAAATAATTCATGAGCTTTAAATGGTAAATAAACACAAGAGGGGCTAGAACTGGGGTTCACTCGCTCAATCAATGGATCAATCAATCACACCACCTCTATCATCATTCAAATATTGAATGGGAATCAATCAGACCGAACGTTGTAATAAGATTATTGATTATTTGCTATCAATTATTTCTAAAATAAAATGTTTTGTTTTTACCAGTCAGCATGGCATGTTTGATGTTTGCACTCTCAACTGCGGGTCAGAAAGTTGCGGGTTCGAGCCCCCACGTTGAGGGATTTGAGCTCACAGCTACATTGCCAGGAGTTACTGTACATACACTGAAAATTATCATTCAGTTCCTTTTACTCAAACACTTTATATTTTCCCTTTTCAAGCATTGGTCCAACTCTCTTTCAAAAGGTTCTCCTTCAGCTCAGGTGTTCCATGTCCATGTTCCATGCTTTAACTCTGTGCTAAAACATCTTTTGGTGGGGGGGGGTGGGGGGGATCTTAAATGGATGCCCTCGTTAACGAGTCACCGTCCAATGGAAATAGCTTCTCCTCGTTTAGCTCACAAACGCCCCGAAGCCAGAGACCACACTCTGAGGACGCTGTGCCCCTTACTTCTATTTGCATGTTCATCAGGTCACCAGCAGGGGGCAGGATTTGAGTGACCACCCAGCCGGGCCGAACACTGAGAAATGCCAGTCACTGTGAGCAGCGGGGGGTGTGCACTCGGAGACAAAAGATCTGCTTACATCCAGACTTCTGTCACAGAGAGACCCCCCCACACCCCCCCCTCCACCCGGCAGAGAGAGAGGAATGCATGGGGGGATGGGGAGAGAAATGGGTGAGGAGATAAGCAGTATCTCCTGCCAGGAAACTATTGAATATTCAATTAGCTGAGAATTAGGGCTGAATTTCAACTGTTTGTAGACATTTAAAAAGAAAAAGGTGATTTACACATGGAACCTCTAACCCAATCCTTCAAATTTACCTGCTCCGATCATGGTCTCAACAACAACAAATTGCATTTGTTTAGCAACTGCAATGTCAGGAGGATGTCCCAAGGCACTTATTCCTCAGTTTAACAGTAAAAGCCTCACAGGTATGGTATTTACTGCCAGTGGCGGGATCCAGCCACAAAGCCAGGATTTTATGGGAGAAACTCCCTCGTCTTTTCCACCCCACCACCATCACTATCATAGCATTGGGATTTTTAATGCCCTTTTGAACAGATAAACAGGACCTTGGGTTAACATCGTAAAATGATTCCTTGTACAATGTAGCCCTCCCTCCCCCAGTACAGAACCCAGAATATTAGCCTAAGGCTGGAGCCCTTGCGACCCAAAGGTGACACTGCTATGACTGAGCCTAGTTGGAATGAAACAGTCAGTGTCAGAGAAGGAGTTAATAATAACCCTTGCATTTGATATAATCCTTGCATTTGATATAGTGCCTTATCATGTCTTCCAGACCTCTCGAATAACTTCACAGAATATATTGTAAAGTGAATTGACTGTATATTTTGTGGGTGAAACACGCAGCCAATTGCCCACAGCAGTGTCCCCTAAAAACAGTCGTAGATTGAGTGACCAAATTATTATTTTTTTAAGGAATTATTACCCCCAGAAAAGCGATCCACCAATCGACTAACAACCTGGTTTCTACTTGCTGCTCGGTAAACAGAGGTGTGTGGAGTAAGGAAACTTGCCCAACATTTCGCCCGGCTGGGGATCAAACCCAGGTCCTCTCGCTAGCGAGGCTAGTGCTCTAACCACTAAACTACATCTTCTAGGCGTCTCAAAGCGCTTTTGTAGGGAAAATGCAGCAGCCAATTCCACACAGCAGTGTCCTACAAACAGTTGTGGATAGAGCGAATTGACACAAAGTCTGATATTCTCTCCTCACCTATCTCCCTTTGGTCTTCGCTTTTGCACATTCTTCCCTTTAGGCCTCCGCTCACTCCCGACGCACGAGCTACCCCCGGGGCCGGTCACCCGGAGCGACTCCAGGCCTTTGGAGGATTTTTTAAATGTGAACTCCACAGGCTCCCCCTCCTTCAGGCTCCGGAACCCGTCCATGTGAAGCTTGCTCTGGAAAAAATAGCACAGAAGAGCAAAATCAGCCACCAGACCGCAATGCCAAGACATCCAGCAACTCTCAAAGTATTTCACACGCCATTGGATGGCACGTGTACTGACAGTGTATTTGTGGGCAAACACAGCAGCCAGCTTACACACAGAAAAGTCCAACTCACCCGCAAAGTCAGACTGGAAGCTTGCCCCCCCCACCCCGTATACAGTAAAAGACTTGATGAGTGGGTGGCATTTGGAAAGCCAGAGAATGTGCTCAGTGATAAATCCCTCAAACCCCCTCCCCCCACACACAAACAACTACCACTCTCTCTCTCTTTCACTCACTACTACCTGCGTTGGGTGTTTTTTCTCAACTAGAACTGCCTATTCTCATCTCTCGGCCCTGCTCGCTCACTCCCTACATTCTCTTTAATATTCCTCATTTTTGGAGCATCAATCTTGTCCCTGTGTAAAGAAATCAAGGGACTCTGGTCTGGGGCAGAGTGTTTCACATTCCCACCCGCACCTCACTTTATTTTTTTAAAAAAGTACATTTTCAAAGCATTTTCTGTCCAAGTGAAACTACTAATTCTGAGAGAAAATAATTAAGGAAAAGTTTGGAGAAATTACAGCCGCTGATGCACAACGAGGGGGATGGGGTGGGTTTGCTTTTCTCTTTGTGGTGGGTCCTCACGCCAGTAGCTTGATCTCTGAGCCATCGTGGAGAGCAGTAATCTGCCTGGGACGCCAATGAAAGAACAAACAGGAAACAAAGGGCAGGGCAGAGGAGAGCCACAGGGAAGGAGCTGCTTGTCTCTGGATCCTCAACTCTCAGGTCCCATCTATCATACAGGCTCCACACATCCAGACACCTCTCGGAGCCTCTCCCCCCCCCCACCACCATGGCCCTCTGGTCAATTTTCTGACTGCTTTAAATGAGCATATCTGGTCAAGCCTCTGTACTGAATGCTGGGCAGTCAGGACTGGAAGCACGGTTACGGTTTGAGCATTCCTGAAATATCTTTTTGGTGTGGAGTAGACTAGAGTGGTGAGTTGTGGGGAGGTGGGGTGGGGGGGGGGGCGGGGAAGAGGAGGGAAAAACGGACAACAATTGAGAAGCAGAGGCAAACACATTCTAATCCTTGTTTCAAACCTGTGGTGTAAAGTCTTCCCTGTACACACACACACACCATGTGGAAGATTTCTAAAGGGGTGGGAGTTGGATAAGGCACTCTGAACCTATTTATCTGGGACACACTGGAGCATCAGCCTGGACCCTGGCCTGGGGTTTGAACACCCTCATACAGAGGTAAGGGAAGTCAGACCTTAAACATCCTTCCCCCTCTGCCCTGGTAGCCCCTTGTCCCGTGGGACAGTCGCTAATCCCTCCTTTCCCCCCCCCCACCCACCTAAAAAAACAAAGCACAAACTGTTTCAACTTTCAAGCTTCCCCATCAACTTGGTGTGGTTGGAACAACACCTCCCATTAAATAACAAGATTACATTTGTATAGGGCCTTTCACGTCAGGAGGACGTCCCAAGGCGCTGGGATAATAAAGGTTCCAGGTCCACTCGGGATGTCAGTGGTCTGTAAGCTATTTGTTCCGCCTTGCTCACAGAGGAGAGGTCACATTTCACAGCAAGGAATGGGCAATCCTCCCCTCGCTGCCTAACCTAGAGCGGGGGATGGGGATGTGAAGTTATACCCCCATAACTCTCTAAATACCTTGATAACAGGTGTGGGGGGAGGGAGGGGGATTGTGGATTGTGATAAATTTCCTTCTTAATCACTGCAGACCCCTCCTCTTTCCTTCCATTCTCCCCTCCCCCCCTCCCCACCTATCTATTTCAGCACACTAAAGATTTGCCATTGGAAGTTTGGATTGATAAAAAAAATCTTAAAAGAGTCACGGATTTGACTCCTGGGAATGAAAGATAGCGGGCAAGACTTGCACTCGGTGACTTGAGTCCACATGATGGCCAGGGGTTCAGCAGGTGAGATAGAACCATCCCAGGTTCACACTTTCAGGTGGAAAGAATGCGATTTTGTTCCTTAACAAAGAAGCTGAAAGAGCCAATCAATGAATTGAGAAACAAATGCTAATTCATTACGAGGAAGGAGTGAGTGAGTGGGTGAGGACCTCAGCGACCCTCAGGGCTGCGTCCGGTTTGCCACCGGCCTAAGGGGATCCTCACGAGCCTTCCAAGAGTCACGATTGTATCAGCTGCCAGCTCCAATCAGGATTAGCTGTCCTGATGCTACAAGAAAGAATCACAGACCAGAAATCTTTTCCCAACAAGCAGCTCTGCCAAAGGCTGGTCGCCAAAGCGCTCACAGTGGCAGACACAAGCCACATATAGGCCCTCACACAGCCCGAGACACGCTCCCCCCGAGAGGAAACAACTCATACGCATTCATACACACACGCTCTCAACTGCACATATACATCCATACACTTTCACACACACTCAAACTCTCTGGCACATATTCATACACGCACATTCTCTTTTTATACTATGCAGAAGTCCTTTTGGGGATAAATATGGCTGAGAAGCATGGGGAGGAAAGGACTGAGCAGATAATACGGAAAAAAGCTGGTTACCTGCTCTGAGTTGAATTCAAAAGCGACTGTCACACCTTGTTGGTTCTTTAGATCAGCTGGGCAGACACTAACATATCACTGCAGTCACCGACTGAGGCAGTCAGGGAGCAGGGGTGTGGGGGTTATTCATTCCTGGAGTCCATTGTACTGGGAATGGGGTCATTTTTTTGCGCGTTAACAATTCACAAGCAATATCCAGATTTCTGAGCAACCAATTCCTGACAGAATCTATCAATGTCCAGTCGGGACACGAAGCAGACTCGGAATAATATAAATCTAGGTGTAAGGTGTATGTTTTGGACGATCCGGAGTAAATCACAGTCGTGTGAAAAAAAAATATGAAATGCGTGCTGGAGATGAATCATTGGTGCAGTGTTCGGGGCATTAAACACAAGCTGCGCTGTCTCTTTAAGAGCAGAAGATCAAAGCAAAAGAGAATCCCACTAATGTGTGAGGGGGAGGGGAAGTGATTGTTGGGGGGGTGGGGGATGTGGAGGAGGGGGAGAGAACAAAGCCCCCAGGAGAGACAGAGAGGCAGGCAGGTCTGGTCTGTATTAGGGCCGCAGAGGACAGCGGCTCGGGGTAAATGGGTCTGGGGGAGGGGAAGGGGGTGGGAAGAGATAACGCTAATATAAGGCCCGGGATTGAATTGTTCAGCATATGGTGCGAGAAGCAGCCAGTGAACATCACCCCCACTCCTGTCACCTGGTGATGCGGATCAATCCCATTGCAATTAACTGGATGCAATCCCCAAACTCTCCTCATGGTATTAACAGCTGCACAGGAGGGGTGGGGGGGAGTGGGGAGGCGGGTTCCGAGCGGCGGTTGGGTGGGGGGGGGGGGGGGGGGAGGAGGAGGAGGGTTCTGTGGATGGGGAAAGGAGGAGGGTTCCCGGTGGTGGGGGAGGAGGAGCAGGGTTCCGGGCGGTCGGGGAGAGGAGAGGAGCAAGGTTCCAGGGTGGGGGGAGGGGAACGAGCGGTGGGGGTTCCCCAGGGGGGAGGGGGGAGGAGATACCCCACACCTCGCATCAACTGCAATACCTGATGCTGATGCTCCAGTTGTCGCCTCCACCTCTATCTATCTGACCGCAGCCACAGGAAGCCGCACTTCCTGGGATGCATTTCACAGATTGTTCTCTATCTCTCTGCGCTGACGTCCTGTCACACAGCCCTGCAAACGGGGAGTCATTTTGCGCTATTTCTTAACGGATATCTTAATTAAGAAACCAAGGGATTCCTGGAAGGAAGCTGGGAAAGGAGGGAGGAGATTAGCAGAGCCTCTCCTCCCAAGAAGGGGCGCCTGTACTTTGAGGGGGGGGGGGGGGAGCACCAATCCTGGAGGCCTCCCTCTCCCCAACCCTAAAGTCGCCAATCTCTCCTCCACTCTCTTGGGTGGGGGGGGTTGCCACCAGTATAGCTTCCCTCCCCTCAAAAGTCTGGGGGGTGTTGGAGAGGGAAAAGAGCCCCCTCCCCAAGTCAGGAGAGCAAGATAATTTAAGGCTGCACATCAAAAACGTTTTCAGTGAATGAATGAATGAATGAATGACTCTTGAAACTGATCAGCCTAAATGCTTATCAATGAGGGTCTCTCAGTCACTGAAGCCCCTCAGTCACTCGAGCCCCTCCCCCATCCTCCAACCCATTCAGCTCCTCTGAGCAATTCCCAGGCTAACCCTGGCCCCATATAACTGGAGGTATCCAGTGACTAGGGTGATGGGTGGTCCAAACAAGCCAGCCAGAGCCTGCTCCGTGTTTGGACCCAGGAGATAAGAACAAAGTGGTTGGTCAGTCACTCTGGGTCTCTCGCTGCCAAATTCTTCAAGTGCTTTGCCCATCAGGCCAGACTCCAACTGGACAATCAGTAATTCTATCAAAGCCAGCCTGGGAACGGAAGGGCCGAGATAATTAAACTCTTATGAAAGCTTTTAGCTGGCCAGTGGGCTCGCCTTTCTTGGATTACACACACACCACACGTGTGTTTCAGAAACGGTCAGAGGAGGGGGAGGTAAATATCAACCAATCCTGGCACACTTCATTAAAGCAACCCCCACCCCCTCCCCAAATGATCTCTTATTACATGTGCTTCCCATAAAACCCCACTCTCCCATCTGCAAAATTACCTTTTTTTCCTTATTTTTCCTCCCCCCCCACCCCAGGAAGATGTATGAGGACACCACGTAAATGCCAAGTGATGTGCTTGTCCTGTCTGTTCTATTGTCCACCCCCCAAAAAAAAATCACCTCCTGAGGGAGAAGCTGGTCTTTGCTCACAGCAGGACTGGGGAGATAAGGAACTTGGTAGCTTCTGATGGGGGGAGGGTTGGTCTGACCTGGATGCTTTCCACCTCACCTCATGTTAAGTGTTTCTTCCATAGCAATGCACCCACTACGACAGCACAATATGGATTGAACGACTA